TCCCCCCCGTAGACTTACCTTCAGGCAGCTCGAGGAGCTGCTCTCCACCACTGCCTGGGGCTGTATCACTGGCCACATGCATATCTGCATCCCACTACACCTAACCCCAAGCAGCAAGCAGAAAACCCAGATCCCTGCACATGACACTGCTATGGTTTGACTGTGCGAGGAGAATCTGGGACAAATGCTGTCCTGGACTCACTCAGCCTGGGACCAGGATCTGATCTTTATATTTTGGGGCTGTCCCACCCAATTAGGGATGGGTGGTCACCCTAGGTGCACCAGTGCCCTTGTACCTAGGCCACACCTTAAATTCTGGCTCCACCCTAGTTCACAGCCCCACGGATTGTTTTTTAACTTGTTCCAGTTAAGTTACATGTGTTTCCTTCAATCTTAAACTGAATAAGGCAGACCTAGGCTTCCAGCATATTGATAAAGCTTCTAGGTTCTTTTAAAGCAGAGAAAAATACGGGCTGTTTTACATGTGATGATGCAGAGGGATGGAGCTCAACTGTTCTCAGTGGTGGCAGATGACAAAGCAAGAAGCAGTCATCAGAGTTTGCAGCAGGGAAAGTTTAGGTTAGATATGAGTAAAAAACTTTCATGACGAGGGTAGTAAAGCATTGGAACAGGCTACCCATAGAGGTTGTGGAATCTCCCTCCTTGGAGGTTTTTAAGACCCAGCTAGACAAAGCCTTTGGCTGGGATGGGCTAATTGGGGATGGTCCTGGTTTGAGCAGGGGGTTGGACTAGATGACCTCCTGAGGTCCCTTCCAGCCCTCATTTTCTATAATTCTATGCACCTCATCATCTGCACCCCCTTTTCAAAATCCTAGATCTGCCCACACACCACAAGCTAGATCAGTGAGTCTCACCCAGGGGATGCCACAGTACCCTCAGATCCTTTCAAGGGGGACTGCAGGGTGCCACACAATGTTAGCAGTATTAAGCATGCAAACCTAAATCAGAAGATAAAAGGATAAAACCAAAGATTTCAAATAGGAATCCACGGTGTCATATAAAACCCATTTCTGATCTATCTTGGTCTCTCTGAGTTCTTTGCAAACAGAAGAATTGTAATTGAGAAAACAAGTAAATGCTGAGAGATGGTATTTTCCAAAGGGTGCTTTGAGTCTTCAAAAGCTGAGAACCACTGGACTAGACACTCCTCATGCTGTGACATGATCTTCAGGTAGGTGCCAACTAGAGGAGATTCAAGGAATCTCGTGCTCCAGAAAAGTCCGAGTGGGGCCAGTCCTATAATGAAACATTCCACTCCCTTTTGACTGTGGCATGGGCACATGCATCAGAAAAGCTCCAGGGAAGCTTACACTCTGGTGATGTTAGTTCAGTCAGAATCATTCCAGCATCTGTGGGCACGGAGCTAAAGAACACAGCACAGCATGACATTGCCAAAAGGCTGAAATCTCCATTGACTGGAAGAAATTACAAAGTCGCATTGACTCTAGAGGAATAGGACCTGATGTTCTTGTTCCATGTAGTGCCAAATCCAGCTTACAAAGCTGCAGCATAGCTAGGAAAGGGACATTTTTATCATACTCTTTAATTCCGGTGGCTTCAACCTGGGCTGAAGGAAGCTCCCCCAACCCCAACCAGTGCTGCATGGTGCGCCAGGAGCAGGAGTCAGAGCTGGAGGTGAGGGGAGAAAAACAGCTCTGCTGGGCCTGGCATCTTTTGCCCAGCATGTGAAGCTCAGCCTGCAGCCCCTGGATGCCTTCTACCTGGATGCCTTCCACCTTCCAAGGCATCTGGGTGGGAGGCATCTGGAAACTAGAGCCAGAGCTCCATGTGCTGGGCAGAAGCCATGGGGCTGAAATACCCCACCCAGAGTGGTGTGGCACAGCCACAGCAGCTAGAGGTGAGGGGGGCAAAACAGCCCCCCCCCGGGGCCCAGCCAGCCTGAAGCTGTTTGTGCACCTGCAGCCTCAGGTGCTGACCAGGACAGGGGTGTAGTGGCAGCTGCTGGGCTTGGGGGGCCTGTTACACAGCCACAGTGGGCTGGGAAGGGCCCTGCCCCCACAGGCCAGCCCTGTGGGGCCCTTCCCAACCAGCTGGGGCTCCATGACAGCCCTGCCCGGCTTGGGTGCAGGGAGCTGGGAGCAATCTGGCCGCACAGCCCCCGCAGCCCCAGCCCGGGCTGCCCCTCTGCCTCCGCCCTCAACAACACCTGCAGGCTGGCTGGGCCCAGCCCTGCAGCCCCAGCCGCAGCCCCGGCTCTGGGTGGATAGCAGGGCCATGCCAGCTGGCTTTGGCCAGGTCCCCACCACCCAAGCAAGAGCAGGAGGGAAAGCGGACAGACCCCGACTGGGGTCCTGTGCCAGCCCAGAGACAGGAGAGTTTAATCCCCACCCTCTGCCCACCTTTACCTGAGGCGTTGCCTCAGCCAGTGTCTGGCCTCAGGGACAAGCCTGGCAAAGGCCGCTTCTCCCCTACCCCTCCAGGCATAGCCTGGCTGGGGTTCCTACAGGGCAGGGTGAGGGTTTAAACCCCTCCACAATCATACTTAGCCCTGCGGGAGCCTGGCCACCCCCCCACCCCTCAGGTCTGCTTCCCTCCAGCCTTACGGCTGCTGGAAAGGGAAGGGAAGGCTGCCCTACACCCCTGGCTTCTAGCCTGAGCCACTGCAGGCATGTACCTGCATTTCCAGGATTATATGTGAATGTCTGTGCACTAGCAAATCAGTTCAATCTTTGCAAGTTAAACTAACCTGCAAGGATTGAATCAATTCGGGCACCAGCTTTTTTAATCTCTGTCCCTAGCCCACATGTCAATGAAAAGCAAAGCAGTACCTTAGAAGCTTTGCTACCTGACAGTGGTAGAATACTTGTTTTTTAAATTCCTTCCCTGAAATGTTATTTACAGACACACATCAAATCAGTTGAGCTAATCCAAATAGCTGCATGGCTCATTGTGCAAAGTTAAAAATGTAGTAGAAAAACATAAGTTAGACTGTAAACATTGCATCATTAGCTCATAAGGTTCTGGAGACTTGGTGGCGAATGCTCAGGATAGAGTACACTTTAAATACACATTGGATTGTTGCCTGGAAGAAGGAAGGGATGCAGTAGCTCAGGTTAACTTTACAAGTCATATGTTGGGTATTTGTAGTGATAAACAAGAATGGTTGCACTTGTCAGTCTGCAATGACAAGTACAGAGGCCCTGAGCAAACAAAGTTTCAGAGCAGCCAAATTGCATTAAGAAGTTTTTTTTTTTCAGCTTGCCAAATATAAGGCCTTGCCCTGGTCCTATTGCAGGTAACAGCCAAAGCTCTCTCAATTCAATGGGAGCAGGTTGGAACCTGTTAAGAATATTTATGCAGCTGCAGTCACTTCATCCATGGCTGCACATAATACAAATAATCTCTTTAGGACAGATGAGCATAAAATCAATTTCTTATGTTTTTGTCATGCATAAGCTAATAGGCCAGATGGAAAATTAAAATTCACCAGCTGAATAACAGCTGCATTCAGTACAACTCCAACTGCTTAAAAGAGAATAGGAACTGCTGCAGACAGCTAATGTTAATATTAGGAAATGTGTTGTTTTGTCAGGAAAAAAATGAAGACCTCTGTCTATCAAAGAATGAGAACTCAAAAGGACATGCTAACACATTTAAGCCCCAAATTTAAGTATTTTGAAAACCAAAAAGACTTGTGAAGATATATGTACTCAGGAGTGGCGATCTGAGAGAGGAAGATTATGAAATATTATGATTTTTGTTTTTCAGAAATTGAAACCAGTTTAAGTGATCAGAAAGTGGTTTAAACCTGTAAAAAGAACAGATATTCAGTGCATATAAACCAGTCTGAGAATGGTCGAAACCAGTTTGAGATAAACCTGGTTGAATGTAGTATCAGACTTAACAGATTTGGCTCAAACCAGTATATGCAATGTCTGTCCCAGACCCCTTTCTGGTTTAAATTAAATCAGACTCCCCCAGCATCCTCTCTGGGCTGGGCTCTTTGCTCCACAGCTGGGCTGGCCCCTCTCCTCTGCTCCCTGGCTGCAGCTCTGACACTCTCTGCAGGGGGGAGCAGAAGCCTGGCTTCTGCTCCCCCCTCCCCTCCCTACTCTCTGCTAAGCAGGCATTCCCCTGTCCCTCACAGACACCTCTCAGCATTAGCTAGCAGACCACACGCTGGCTACCTCCAAGCTGTGGCACACAGGACAAAGGCAGAATCAGCAGGTAGCTGGTAATGTCCTTCTGTTA